GCAACTCAGACCGACTTTCAAAGACAAATCGGATCAACTTTCAAAGACAACTCGGACCAACTTTCAAAAGCAACTCGGACCATTTAGACTATCGTAAACAATTAATACATAAACCAGAAAAAAACCTCTTTTATGACAAACGTTTTCATTATATAGCCCAATAAAATACCAAAACGTCGTATATTGTCCGCGACCAAAACTATTTCCGTCTTCTATTGTTATATTTGTTAATGGCCATTTAGTTGGTATTACGTAAGCCTCACAAAATAATTTTATATGACGGTCTAAATTTAACCCTTACCCTATAGTCCTCATTGCCACTTTAATAGGATTAATGTTAAACTTTTAATGAAGCGAAACCGCCTCTATTTATTGCCCAATAAAGGGACAGATTCGTCATCCGTTTGACCAATCGTACCTTATTCCAAAAACTGGATTTTTTTAGCTAAGCTAATCAGTAATAGTGTTCGCAGCTCACTGTCAAAATTTGAGCTTTCAAATCCATTTGTGTACAGAATTATCTGCGTTTGAATGTTAAAAAGATGAGTCGTCTTTTCTTGAAACACTACCATATACTGAAAAGACATCCATAGAAATAGAAATTCCTAGCTTGCGATATTTTTGGCGATTTTCGTACATTTCTAGTATTTCTGGAGACTATTCACATATATTCAAGACTTAAATCAACACCCCAAAATGACGCATCTGTTCCTTTACGTATTACAAAACTAGGAATTTCATCTTCTATTTCCATCTTTTCTGGAGAAATGACGACTCGTCTTTTTGACTTTCAAACGCAGATAATTCTAGACACACATGGATTTGAAGGCCCAAATTTCGACAGTGAGCTGTGAACACTATTAATGATTAGCTTAGCTAAAAAATTCCCGTTTCTGAGACTAAAGTATGATTGGTTAAAATAATGGCGCACCTGTCCCTTTAAAGTATTACAAAGCTTTGTTTAAAATGATAATGGGAAAACAATGAATCTATTTCAACGTATGACGTTGACCCTACGTCTGGTCAAAAATGGCGTGGATGTTACAAAAGGACACGACGTGATCTAAAGAATAGCCTAAGGCGATGGTCGTCTTTCTGTAGTAAATATAGAGCTTGTACCCCGCCCTTGTTTTCGAGGATTAAGATCTATCAATAGTTTGTAAGAAAGGTTTGATAATCCGATGTTTTACATCTATTTGATCATTTTTGATTTTAATTTCGATTAGATTAAATTATAAATCAATTTGTAAGAAATTAAGATATCATCTTGAATCGGATTGATATAGTTTTACTAGAGCTCATCTCATGCTACAGACGCGTGTGTAAGAGCCACAATCATCATCAGGACAGCTCGTTTGAGAAATGGAGGTTAACTTAATGTTAGCTAATTGACTAGAGCTCATCTCATACTGCAGGTTTGAGACATGACATGTTTCAGATACACAATCCTCATCAGGACAGTTTTAATAAGTTCTCATGGTTTAAGGAGGTCAAGAAGGACAGCGGACAACAGCTGTGGCTATCTTTGACAGCAGACGACAGGAGATTAACTTGACCACTGCTGTTTGATTACATCTGTTACAAGAATCAATCATTACATATAATAATCTTTATATTCAACTTTCTTGTATTAATATTAAAAATATTGTAAAGAGGTTTTCTTAACTTTTTATATGTATCAGGGACACTGATATCATCAATTTACATCATTCTAATTTTCAATCAGACGTCTGTGGTTCTTGTTAAAGAGGTGTAAAGAGGTTTCTAAATTATTTAAG